ATGGTTTTTCCAAAATCACAATTTTCCCCACTTCTAATAGTTACTGTAGACAAGGAAAAATACAGAAAAATAAAATTTAAATAGCCTGTAATCCTACTGCTTATGAGCAATTTACTGTTAACATTTACATATTTCCCTCCAGACTTTTTAAAATTTTTCCATCATTTGAGAACATAGTTCATATCCTAATTTTCCATGATTATAATAAAAACATTTCCCTTATGTTATGAAAAACTATTCATAACTGTAAGTGTGATGCACACACATGGAATTCCATCGTACTGATCATCCTCATGCAAGACGTTAGTATAGTGACAGTCTAACAACCAGCTCGGTGCACAAAGCTTATTTGTCATGAAATGATTTATTTAGGAGAAATTTCTGAGAAGAACTGCTAAGTTAAGGCATATGAGCACTGTAAAATACCTTGGCACATACTGCCAAACTGCTTTCCAGAAAAGTGGTCAGCAGAACACACAGATGCCCACTTTGTCACATCCTAACCAGCACTGACTGAAAACCACTGATTCCATAGGCATCATCCCCCTCAATTAGAATCGGGTCACCAAAAATAATTTTCTAGGGTAAGGAAACAGGCCTAATCGGTCTATAAGCATCATGAGATTGGAGAGCTACATGGGATCCTAAGGTTATCCCCTGAAAATGTACGCAACAGTGTAAGTGCATGCATACATTTTCCCCAGGGAAAGGTGTTCGGAGCTTCCCTCAAACTCCCAAAGATGTCCATGACCTTTCCCTAAGTGCTAGGAAACCACAGTAGACAGGCAGAGAAAATGAGGCTCCCAGATGCCTGCAGCCTGCCCGAGGGGAAGGGCAGACAGAACTAGAGCTGGGCTGGGCCCGAACCCTCACCTTCGCTCTCACCTTCCCGTGGAGTCACTAGCAGAGTCATCAAAGATCAATGGTTTTTTCTTTTTTTGAGACAAAGTCTCACTCTGTTGCCTGAGCTAGAGTAAAATGGCATGATCACAGCTCACCACAGCCTCAATCAAACTCCTGGGCTCAAGTGATCCTCTGCTCTCACTTCCCAAAGTGCTAGCTAGCACTACAGGCTTGAGCCACTATGCCCAGCCAGTTTTTGTTGTTTTTTAACCTATAGACATTTTCTAAGAAAAGTAACAAATATTGAGGTTCTTCATTATATAATTCCTCTACCATATAATATAAGCCCAGCCTGTGGTCCTGAGATTTCAACGACTGACTTAACTGTTCACCAATCCTCAGTTTTATCAACTGTAAAATATGGATTCTTGCTAACTGGCCAAGTTTCGAAGGCTCAAGAATCTCTCATATGAAGTGCTCTGGACTTCAAACTGCGGAGTCAAAGAGCTCAGGCTCTGACCTGCCCGTGAGGCTGCCCCACGCTTCCCCTCCTTCCCTCCTTCAGGCCAGCACTCCAGGAACCCTTCCTGTTCCATCCCACTGGAAAGGTTACGTAAGTCGCTCATCAGCTGACTCATCCACTGCTCCCCGATGCCTGCCCCCCAACATAAACCACATCACTGCAGAACAGTTACTCCTTCCTGCCTGTGGGAAGGAATCCTTTATGTCTGCCTTCTTAAGTCTCTCAACCAGTGATTTAAGAAACCACATGCTCAAAATCGTTACCATGGTAAAGAACTTTAAAAATCTGTATCTAGTTCTTTAAATTATTGTTCAACTGCTTTTGATTCTCCATATACACGTTATTAAAGTTACAAATTCAAAACCTAAATATTACATTTACATCTGCAAAAACTTATCAACAAACTAAACTTCTACTGGCGTATTGAATTCCAAAATTAAGTGATTTCCGAGTTTCCCAAAAGAACGAGTTACCACTATTCATAACACAGAAGAAGTGAGGGCTTGCGCTCTCAGGTGGTTTGTTGCTGGCTTCAGTGCTCAAAACCTCTTTCTCAGCCTGAACTTAAAGGTATGGGGCTGGCTCCTCGGACAGCTCTTCAAACGACGCACAGGTTCCACCGTCAACAGGCAGATGTGCCTCTGGACTTTAACACTGATGTGTACCTTTAAGGATCAAAGGAGCCAACACGGGAAGTACCCAATTATATCAAAACTCAACGCAGTAACCCTGCAAGGAGGAACTGCATAGTTGCCCGTATTTAGACAGTTACAGCTCATTATCCCACTACATGTTTAAAGGCATTACCTCACTTCCTGTTTTTCAGCAGCCTAAACATCAGAGCCAAATCTCACAATAACTTACAAATTACCCCAAATCTCTCCCTTGTTTTTAAACCAAGGTCCAAGTAGATTTTCAAAGCAATCAATACCTGATGCTAGAAGTTTCCGCAGCACTGCAAGCCTCTTGTGTTCTCCCAATCTCAACCACCATTCTTCTAAGCCAATCAGATTCTGAACAACAGTAACAAAACCCGTTAGAGGCCTTTTAGACGCTGCATCTTTTGGTTTCCTGGTGATTATGCTGTCATCACGGTTTGCAGGCTCAAAGCCAAATCATCGTAGCAACCCTTTTTTTTCAAAGACCTATCAGCATTTTTTGAAAGCAAAATCATGACCCAACGCAGATTCTTATACGTTCCCGTCTTTTTTATCCACATCCATTAATAAAAGTCTTACCAGGATGTTTTCTGCTTAGAACTAGAGATCCTGAGTATTTTATGAACCAGCTAGGGCA